CCCCAAAACCCCAAAACCCCTTATTTGAACATTCAAAGTTAATATTAAAGATGGTAAAAATAATAATCAAGCCTAATTCATAATTATTAATAGTAAATATACTTATATCTATCTATAAGGTAAAATGGAGGTATAAATAATGTTGACTACCCCCAAGACAGTTAAAATTCTCGATTATGTCATATTGCTCGTCATACAAGATGACCTGCTTCCTGATGAAGTTTAAATGTGGCATTGCTACTTCTGGTAGAGTGAAGGGCTAATAGCCATATAAGGGAGAAATAGATCTTGACTCCAGTTAAACAAAAGAATTGGCCTGCTATGATTCTTCGTATACCAAATATAGGTATAAATACTGCTACGTATGAGTAATTTACAACCTTGCTTCGTATTATTTTACACTCATTGCTTTTATTTATTATAATTTGCTGTTATCTGGTTAATTTTGTGATAGAGGGCAAGTATCTAAAACTTGCAACTTATCCGGAGCATAAATCACAGATGAATCTCCTATATTGTTAGATAGCAGAGCAGCCTTTAAAAAGTTGTTAAAAATATCGAAGGCAGTGTAGTACCCTTATCCTCTCAAAATATGGAAATTTGAAAGAGTAAAACCTATGGAATGCCAGAGCTCTGAAATTAAGTTTAAGGACTCTAAATTTTACTCATTAATTTTTTCATACTTCTCTTCAATTTTAATTTTGGGTAATTTTTCTTTTTCTTATTGTATCCAGATTTAATTAGAGTAATATCTTTCTTGAGGTATAAAATAAAAGCAATGCAGGTAGATTCGAGCTGCCTGATCCTGATCCTGAATTGAATTTCTTTTCTTATAATTTGCACATGCCGAATTCATAATTATTTCAGTAATTTTTTCATCACGGTGTAGATTAGCATGAGATCGGTGTTACCATCAGTTCCTAAAGTTGCTGACCTTATTTTATTTTATTGTTGAGCTTTAAGTCTTATCGATTTGGATATCACAGAATTTACAAAATCCTATCAATTTACAAAACAGGGGTAGTTATAAATTTATTTTTAATGCTCAAAGGTAGCTTTTTAGTTTATAAAATATTGTTTGAAGTGACTAATTAACTCAAATAGCCTATTATTTTTTATTTTAAATTGAATTATTGATTTAAATGTCATAAACTTACCTTTTAAAAATTTTAAAGCTAATAATCATCTTTGGGGTTTTGGGGTTTTGGGGTTTTGGGG